CCACTTATTTTCCGTACTGCATCCCAGACTTTCTTAATAGGAGTATTTGAATTAATATTTGAAACATAAGATTGCCATGATTGGCGTTTAGATTGACGCACTGATCTTCTAGCTTTGGCTCTAAATATTCTATAATTTTCAAGGTTTTCTGTTGTAGGGCTATGTTCAAACTTTTTGAGTGAAGCTTTACGTATACGAACGGCTTTTTTACATTCATCGTTAAACCATGGCTTTTTGATTTTGTTACTATTATTTTTTTGTAATGGAATAACTTTGCAAGCAATCGTATGTAATGCTGAAGAGAAAGTTTCAGCTATATCATCAGAGGTGAAATCAAATTCATTTTTTGTTAGATCAATAGAACAGAGCCTAGTAAATGTTTCCCAATCTGCTTTCTTAAATTTAAAACTTTGACGTCCTTCATCTGGTATAGAGTCATTTGATGTAAGTAACAATGGATAATGATCACTGCCGTACTGGTCATCTAAAACTTTCCAATCGAAGTCCAAGTATATAGCAGAGTGGACAATCGAGAGGTCGATGCAAGAAAACGTACCTGTAGCTGGATGTAAATATGTAGGTGACCGATTGTTTAATAAACAAAGCTGAAAGTTATCTATCAATTTTTCAGTTATGTTACCCTTATTATTTGTAGATGTACTGCCCCACATAGGATTGTGAGCATTAAAGTCGCCTAACAAAAGGAAAGGTGATGGTAATTGCCGAACAATACTTTCAAGTTCATCACTTGTTACCGTTAAATTTGGAGGAAGGTATAAAAAACAAATTGTTAGTGGTCGATGTAAGGTCACCTGCACAGCTAAAAAAAAAAAAAAAAAAAAGTGCAAAGTAAATTGTTACAAATTAAAAGTGACAGCAATGAAGATAAAAACATTAACAAGGAGTATGATTGTTTATCAGTTGGATTTACAGGTACACTATATTTTGTTTGTCATAACATTTCATCATTTTTATACGTGTATTATTTCAGAGCAATTTTAAATATTACACAATGAGTTGTTATGTTATGATAATCGAACATGTTATAAATTGTAAATACATACATGCATACCTTCGTAATTTAATACATCTATGTGATGATACTTTTATCTTATTGCACTGACCCGTCCGTTTCATTGCACCTGCGTCAGTACATATATATTTTTTATATTCAAATCTTTTGAATCAGATAGAAATAAGATGAAGTCACATTGTGTCATTGTAAAATTTGGTGCAAGCTTCTTACAATAAATTATATTTTTAAGATGATGGGAAGAAAGTCACGAAAGTTCGAGTAAAAACAAAATCATCAGGGAAATGTTCTAGCAAAGCTTGCAAGAACGACTTTCACTTTGATGTTGATAAAGGTGCTTCTATTTGCAAGGTATAAACATATTTGACAAATATCAAGATTCCCGTTCCCATTGAAAGTCATTTGCAGAATAAAGTGTTAACATACTTAACTTCTTTATAATGAATCGGATATCTTTCCTGTTTCGTTGCAGTTTGACATAGCTTGTGTTGGTGCGCCGTAAAACCAAACAAACAAACCGATATATTGCAGTATTGTATACGAAACATTGTTGTGTGTTTTGATATGTTATCGTATAACTTTTACATCACCATAACATATTAACAAATATATTCATTTGTTTATTATTCCCTACGTTTTATCATATTAATTTTTATTATTTCTCACTGGCCTAGGTTAGTTTCAAATAAGTGTTCTTCTAAATTGCATGACTGCTGACAGCTCCTCGATTTTCAATATATATTATTTGTATCACAGGCTGACACCGGTGCCCCAGTGATTTGTAAAATCGATAAGGAATGGCAGTTGTTTGGACTTTCTTATGTAAAGAAGGTGTGTCAGAAGAAGAATATAGCAGGCTTGAGTTTGTCTTACATCAGCTCAGCCATACAAGCGGTAAGATATAAGGGAAAATACATATTAGTGCGTGCGTACATATGGTCACATATTACTTCCTTTATTTAATTGTATACATTCAGTATGCTATTTTTTAAAAGTTTGAATAGTTTAATCAAATAGATAAATCAAAGCATTGTCTACGAGTTTTACAAAATTAGGCTTACCAAAAATAACATCAAAAGTTATTTCCCTATTTAAAGTGAACTGTTAGTTTAGTTATTTCTATAGTTTTTTGTAAAATGTTGTGTCACGTTGAATCCAATTATTTTTAATTATCTCAGGTTGTTCAAGAGGAAGGCAAGTAAAATTATTTTATAATAAATAATGCTTACTAATGCTTTTACAAGGCAGAAACGGGCATGATAACTTCAACATATTATGTATTATTACGCGTTGAAGAAAACATCAGTAATATATACATTTAGAGAATATTCACGGGATAACAACCGTTGTTTTAATTACTACTGCATTGTACGTAAATGTAAATACTGAATCAAACTTTAGGTTCAAACCATGATATCACTTTTACTTTTGCAATAGAAAGTGGATACAAGATAATTTTAGGATCATTATGAATTTTATCAAAAATTTTAGATAATTTTTTTCCCCAAAAAAAAAATTTGTACATTTTTTTAAAATACAATGACCTCAAAAGTTGCTTTTAAATTAAAAAAAAAAAATAAAAAAGGGGCTTTTTTTTTTTTGGTTTTCCTTTTTTTTAATAAAAAAGGGGAGAAAAAAACCAAAAAACGAAAAGCGGCTATTTTTTTTTGGGGCTTGGCTTTAAATATTAAAAAAAACCTTTTTTCTTCATTTTTAATTTTTTTTTTATTTTTTCTTTTTAACAACCAAGCAAAACGGTTTAAAAAAAAAAAAAAAAAGAAAAAAAAAAAAAAGAAAAGGGAAAACCGGGTTTTAGGGGGTTTTTTTTTGTTCTAATTCCTTTTTCCAAAAAAAGGGGGTTTTTTCCCCCGGGGCCTTTTAAAATTGGGTTTCTGTGCGTCTCAATCTTGCACAAAGTGTGTGTCCGGACTGTGTTTTTTTTGCATTGTATGATTTTAAAATACTTTTTTTGACAAATGACGTGTTATATCTACAACCAATAACCCAAGATCAAAGGTCAATCTCACGTTTACAGTTGGAAGGTTCACATTGGAGTTAAATTGTACACACATGCGTGTCTGGACTGTTACCTCCATGCATACCAATATTTTTCAAATAACCTAGCACATATGTCTTACACATCAAGATGACATGGTGCGTCAAAGTCCCACTTCCCTAATCCTAGGTCAAGGCAATATGTTCACATATTCAATGAAAGGATTTTAAAATAACTTTTTACCAGAACAATATTAGCAATGAATTTTCTTTACTCTCTTTTTCTTATTGCAATAAATTTCTGCAATACTAACGTAAACGTTATCGGGGACATTCTTCACGTTTCTGCGTGAAAGCTCTTGCTCTTAAATAAATTAATTTATCAATTCAATACGATATTGTAGATAGCCATTTATTCTGTCTGACATATTACAATCTGCTGTTTATAGCAGTAAGTAAAATAATATATAAAGTAACTTTTTAAATTAAAAATGATAAAACTAGGCTTTCACTAAATCGAATATTATTGATGATTGCTTTCACCTTAACTGCAAGTACATAAAATAAATATTGATCACTTTACTTTTTAATTATAAAAAAAGGCAGACGATTATACTAGTTTTACCTGTTTGCATTTGATATACTTTAAACAGTGTTTTAATAATGTTGACTATTAGCGAGATTGAAACCTTATTTATGAGTCATCAAGAAACAATAGGAAAGGAATTTATTTTTAGTAAATAAACAGAGTTACCTTTTTCTTTTTAATGAAGCTGCACGAATAACTGCATCAATAGACAAAGATGTAAACCCTTGTGACGATTTCTATGAGTTTACTTGTGGAAAATGGTTGAAACAAAACCCTATTCCTAACGATGAACATTATATTAGCACCGTTAGTTTGCTACAAGAGGATATTCTGATGCTCGTAAAATGTAAGTAGGGGGAGGCTCAATTAGTCCATTTGTTATAATATTCATCTATCAATACAAGAAAACACTGGTACAATACTTATCACCAGACGTGCCATTTATGTTCTGTTTAACAGAAAAAAATCATTTCGTTAAATAAGCTGTAAATAACTACTTGCACATTTCTAAATTGTCAGAGAAAAAACAAGTAATGATGAAATATTAAAGATCCTGTATATGTTGTGATTGATATTTTACTGTGTGTATACTACACTTGCAAAAAAATTATATATGTATATAAATATGCAAATAAAACAACGTAGAATATGTAAAATGTGTACTGCAAATATTTGTGCACATCATATTTAATCAATAAATTATATGCATTCATTTCTTATTGGAAAATTTGACTTATTTATAGAAAATGAATTTCTAATTACCTCCCTTTATTTAAATAAAATGTTGAATTCGATAATATCTTTATAAATAATGCTTATTGGAACTTACAATACTGACAAATCTTAATTTGAGCATCATATTTATAAAATAAGACCATGAAAAAATGTGTTACAGGATCTTTAAGATTAGAATGCAAAACATCTCATTATTACAAATATGCATCTAGTCATAATAATTTGATTTTTTAATTATCATCTCAAATTTTCTAATATAAAGCTGAAATTGGAAAAAAAAAATGATGAAAAAAGAAATTTTAAACATTTAAAAACCAAGGGTTTTTTTTAAAGATGCTGGGTAAGGTGAGCAAAAATAAAAATTTTAAAAATTTTTCTTAACAAATGTGATTTTTTGGTACCACCCGTAAAAAATTAAATTATATAGTAACGTATAATTCGCCATGCGTATTGTCGATTGCTTCAAAGTAAAACAAAAACTCAAAAAACATTTCACTTGTAATGCGTATAAAATGTTGTTTGTTTGTTGTTTTTTTTTGTTTTGTTTTTGTTCTTTGATTTAATCATACATTAAAATTGACAGAAACACATTTTGATTATATTTTAGATCAGATTGAAAAACTTAAAAATGTCCCTCTACATAATCTAATGGAAGAGTTAGGAGGGCTACCATTATTAGGATCACAACCTGGGGGAAATTGGGACTCTGATGCTTATTCCTTTGAAGACCTTTTCATCAGTTGCTGGCACATTACGTCATCGTCACCGATATTATATGTGTATTTCAGTAAAGATATTGTGGGAAACGAAGAACGCGTTCAACTAAGTGTAGGACATGCATGTAATACAAACATTCATGAGTACTTGTTTCATCAAACATATAACATTTCATTAAAATTTAGTAGATACTATTATACCAAATTCATGTATTATTAGCTTATTCATCAATTGAGGAACATGTATTATTATTCTTCAAGAAATATTATTACCTTTCAAGAAATGTTGACATAAGCAATGAAATTTCATATTTTATATAATTATGTAGATTGATAATCCAACCTTTCCTGTGCCAGTCTATTATTACCTTGAAGGACGCGATAGTAATATTTTTTCGGCGTACAAGACATATTTACAGGAATTATTTCAAGCATTTGGCGCAAATGAGACAACAGCAACCGAGTATTCTAAAGGAATTGTCAACCTTGAGATTGACCTTGTAAATGTACGTTCTTATGTTATAATTTATTTAAGGTCTATCGTATTAATAAATAATGTTGTAATTGCATACAGTGTTGCGGGCGTTCTTGGCTAAGTTGTTAAGACGTTTGATTTTTTAAACAACTTGCCTCTCACCGCCATAGGACTTATCCCGCAAGGGACATTTGATTATTTCATCTTTGAAAGTCATCAAGCTAGCACACGGAACGTCGGTGGTTTCTCTCAGATAATCGTTTGTGTCTGAAATAATGTACGGTTAACAAATTGATGTCTTCCACACACTGGTTAAGCTAGAAAGTCGTCATATTACTTTTAGTAGTGTTACTTAATATAGTTATACTTAAATATCAATTACTCTAAGAATGCTGTCAACATGTACACAAATTTGATCCTTATCTTACAAGTATTAAAATGTGTTCATTCAACTGATAATATGATACGGAGATATACAGGTTTGTTTAATTGTATATATTCAGACGTTATATTTTTCAGATTTCAAGCTATGTAAATAAGGATTATAATCGAGCGGTCCCAATAAAGAAGCTTAACAAATTTGGGGATAAGGTAATTAAACAAACAAATTTCAAGTAGGGTCAGACAATATGATGATAGTAATTTCGTTAACGTTTGAGTTTGCATATTAAGATATTTTTTTCATATTTTAAACTTGTAAAAAACTTTTTAAGTTTAAAAATGTGCCTGCTAGAAATTCATATCAAGGGTCAAATGCACAATAAGGTATACCAATAAATTTATTTGTTTGACATTTTTGTAACCGTCTTAATCAAAGTCAGAGAGCAAATTTAAAAATCAAAATCTCGAAACAAAGTGATCCCTAGGAAGCATTTATCACAACAAAATAACAAGAGAATTGCAGACTCGGTTTAAGAAGCCAACACTGAAGCAGATGCAATTACTTTATTTGTCTATTTAAAAAATCACAAAACAAAAACAATATTTTTTATCGTTTTAGATTGATCTCAAGAAAATCGTTAAGGGAATACTGCAGCACGGAGAGTTATCGACGAAATCGTCAGATGTGGTAAACTTATCTGGCGTCAGATATATAAATAGCATTTACAAAGTGCTAAATAACTATCCAAAAAGGTATGTATTTCTTGTTATATTAAAAGAATATCAAAGTTCATTTGTATCATCACACTCATAACGTTTTGAAATGACTCACGAAATGCAATTGTTGTTTTACTGGCAGTAACCATACTGTAAATGGCTTATACAGTAATGACAATCCGCCCACGTGGTAATCACGTATTGATGTGTTGAGACAAGTTAAACTATGCGTATGTTATTGGTTTATTTTAAGATGCATAAAACATGTAATAAAGCGTGTTTACTTTAAATACGGAAATGATTTTACTTTAAATAGGAAAATATTTTTTGATGTTATTTATGGTGAAACGTTAGCCTTATTTTGTAAATGTGCAACTCATAGACAATGCTTGATATTCTGCCTAATATGTTTGATAGGGGGGATAGTTCGAATCGTGTTTGTATTATGTTCACACATTTACTGAATCTTGAAAATTAAAACAAACGACAAAATAAGTTCTGCAAAAATACATTGGTGAAAGTTCATATTTTTTTAATCTATGGTTTGTATTTCACGAGTTATATCTTTTTACTGGTAACCTAAAATAAACATGTTTATATTCAAACTAAAAAATATTTATCCTTATAGCAGTTTCTTAAGTGTGATCATTTAATTAACCAAACTCTATTACATGAAGTCAATGTAACAGAAACGTAGACACAAATGTATTGAACTAATACTACCGGTAATACCTTTTCCTTGACTTATGCCCCAACTTTTAACTTCTTCTGTTCAATGTACTTATGGTTAAAGACAAAAACTGAGGCACCCCTAGCAACCGTACTTAGTTTAGTCTTACAATCATTGCACTTTAGACTAAAACTAGTGTACAGGTCAATCCTGTAAAGTTTCTTAGAAATTGCATTAGTGGTATAAGAGAAGTAGTCCGGACAAACTTTAAAAATAAAAATTATTAAAGGGCCATAACTCTGACAAAAATCATTGAAACGGAAAATGCTGACAATATGCACAACAAAACTTGGTGCTGATCACTCCTGTAAAGTTTGGATGAAATTGCACCAGTAGATAATGAAGAGTAGTGCGGACAAGCTTTTGTGTTTCTGGCAATACACAGCAAAAAAACTCCTTTTTATCAAAGGGCCATAACTCGGCCAAAAATCATTCAACCGGAAAACCCGTGCAATATGCACACGGACTTGAGCTACAAATCAATCCTGTAAAGTTTCATTGAAATTGCATTAGTGGTATAAGAGAAGTAATCCGGACAAACTTTAAAAATAAAAATTATTAAAGGGCCATAACTCTGACAAAAATTATTGAACCGGAAAATGCTGAAAATATGCACAACTAGACTTGGTACTGATCATTCCTGTAAAGTTTGCATGAAATTGCACCAATAGTTTATGAGGAGTAGTCCGGACAAGCTTTTGTGTATCTGGCAACACACAGAAAAAAACACCTTTTTATCAAAGGGCCATAACTCGGCTAAAATCATTCAACCGGAAAACCCGTGCACTACGCGCAAGGACTTGAACTACAGATCAATCCTGTAAAGTTTCATTGAAATTGCATTAGTGGTATAAGAGAAGTAGTCCGGACAAACTTTAAAAATAAAAATTGTTAAAGGGCCATAACTCTGACAAAAATCATTGAACTGGAAAATGCTGACAATATGCACAACAAGACTTGGTACTTATCATTCCTGTAAAGTTTGGGTAGTTTATGAGGAGTAATCCGGACAAGTTTTGTGACGGACGGACAGACGGACAGACAGACAGACGGACAGACATACGACGGAGAAGTGATCCCTATATGACGCCACTACTCCGTAGAGGCGACACAAAAAGGTGTTTTTTTCTGTGTGTTGCCAGATACACAAAAGCAATTATTTTGGATACCCTTAATACCGCTTTAAGACAACAGAAACTTCAATGTAAATGTTGTCAATTATTTCAGGATGGTAGCAAGTTATTTACTATCACGTGCTGTAATAACAGAACTCTCATTTTTGCCACAAATTTATACAAATATAAATAAAAAATTTGAAAAGGTATGTATCTTTATAATTACGTGTTTAAGCAACTAGCAGCGAGAAACTTCCGTATTACTAATATTGGCTTTATTTTTTTCTTTTGTACGTTTTGTTATTTCATTGTAAGTGCATATTTTTGCAGTGTCTGGATTGAAAGAATGGCGTTTTGTTTTTTGTTACTAGTGTTAAATAACAATTATAACTGAAGGCAAATCCTTTGTCCTGAATGTAATTTCAATTCCTTAATAAAGTTGAGTCAATTTAAGTGAAAAAGAAATGAAATGAAATTGTAGCAAATAGTCAATGTCACAATCTTGCTTTTTTGTACTGATATTTTATACGCAATTCCCGAGTGAATATGCAAAATCTAGATCTATCGTGATATTATTTACTTTGATTACACATAGCAGCCTATATAATTCTTGGCAACGCTGTGCAGCAAAAGTCCAATGTCATAATTACGCCATATGACATTATGTAAATGCTTCACATTTGCATAGTTCACTTTTTTGTAGGATACACTTTTGACGGTGAGCCAACTACTTATACATTACTTACACAAATTGACCTTTTATTCTCAACAAAGTCTTTTTAAAGATTGCGATTTCTGATTACTGCAAATATATTACAATTTCTGTTTTATATTAGTTTTGCTTTAGAGTCGTTAGTGTTATAGCTGTCTTCACTGTTCATCATCGTTAGATTGACAGCGTGCTTTTTTCGCTATTTATGTCTAAAAGCAGAAACTGAAAACCTCCTGCTCAACTACGTCAGCGGCATACGTTGCTATTTTAGCCCTTAATGCAGTATAGATAAATATTCTTCTAGTTGATGGCATCTTATAGATCTTCACACATAGCTTCGTTATAGCGTTTTAAGATTTTGAACGTCGATTCCTATTGACTCAGTTGTTGGCGATAATGTAAAATGGCGATTTAGCCGTCGGCCGCATAAGCTTATATCTGGTCATATTAAGGCTGTAATACTTAGTAAAAATTGTTTATTCAAAACGTCAGAGGGCTTAGGATAGCCCTCGTATATTGACCTTAGTTTAAATATAATTCCAGGTCGATAGCGGAAATAATCCTTCTAGATTGGAGTACTGTATTAGCATGCTGGACGACAGACTCCCAGACGTGATTGCACGTGTGTTTGTGGAGGAACATTTTCTTAAAAAAGAACGGCGTTACGTACGTATACATTAAAAACATTTTATGAGTCGTCTCGTTTAATTTAGTAAATAATGCATATGTTTCCTAGAAAAGATAAAAAAACATAGGCAATTTTGTTTTATCGTTATATTGGAATCAACTTAAACACCAATATACGGGGGTTCCATGCAAAATACATAATTTTATTCGAAAATTCAATTTAATCTGTTCGTCATGGCACGCTGACTTTGGAAAAAGTATTCAAAATTCTTCCGTATTCTTACATTTTTAATTAACTGAATAATCGATTCTCAACTGTAGCTGTGAATTGCTCTGATCAACCTGTAACAAGTCTGATCCGACTTCGTCCAGACCAGAAGAAAACTTCGGGATACAAAGGTTTTCGGACAAGAATGATTTTATTTTAATATTTGTTCACGTGAAATTCAAAAAAGTTCCAGTAAAGAAAACGAAAATGTATTTAAAATTGCAACATAAATATTTTTTATTGCAATTTTATCAACTATAAACTTTCATTTAACTACCATTGAATACAGAAAAAATAAATGTTGTGTCTTCAATGGTAAGTTTTTCCATTGGGACGTTAAGAAGAAGGCTAAGCCATTATTAAAAATTAAACCGGCATTGGTAAATTATTTGCTGTTTGTCAAGTGTCCGAACAGGGTCATTTCAATTACAAGTTTATTTGATGACTAACTCTCACATTTTGTTTCTAATGCATGTTCAAGATAAATTTTTGAAAAAGTACTGTCTACATCACTTTTTGGATTATGATGACTTCATTACTGTATCTTGCTTGTCTATCCTTTAGGGATCACATGTCTGGACACTTTATCTGTTAATCAACAAAGAATAATTAGTGATTTAAAGGCAGCATGTGAATTTTCATTCTTCATGTCAAAAACACAAATGTGGATGGAGGATCTTTTCATGGTTTACAACTTAAAACAGCATTTCTCTAGATTCATGCTAATTTTTATGAACATTTTTAAAATGTACTTAAAAGTAATATATAATAAATTGAAGGTATAAATTTATGTTTACACATTGAAAACGGCACTTAAAATTCATGTATGTAAACTACAAAAGAAGGGTTCGCTTTGGTGATTTTCCGGACACAACTTGGTCATAATTTATCATTGTACCTAATATTTAGCAAATCCGTAAGTTGACACAGTTACAGAGCCTATTTCTACCATCGGACAGGTATTGTTTTTGAATAATTCAAAGCCTTTAATGCTAGAAATACACAAATTGCTATCGCAACATTGAACCACACTAAATAATAAAAAACCAAGATCATCAAAGAAATGCTTTATACATGTATCAAACACAGAACCCCTCGATTCTATGCATTTAAAGAACATGAAAATACTTTTTGCATATTTTTTTTTATTTTTACCTTTCGGTTACTTACATTTATTATTAACTTTTTTTTAGTTTGAAATTATGAAATAGTTAAAAGTAAATTTTTGAAAATGCCTTCCTTATCAAGTTAAATTTAATTAATTTCATTTTTTCATTGTTTACCGTGCACATTTTCACATATAATGTCATAATACCACTTTATAAGATAGAAACTCAATGCATATAAATGATTATAGATTTTAGATTTAGTAGATCAGCACAAGGAAGTATTTAAAGATATAATAGAGAATGCCAAGTGGATATCGGATACAGCAAAAACTGCTTCAAAAGAAAAGGTAGATCATTATGAATGGCTTGAATTAAAAGAACAACAATGTCAATATGATTATATATTTGTGCGCTTTATCATTTAACTATATGTTTATGAAGATAGTCATGGACGCTTTAATAGTGCCTTCCAAACTACGGTCTGTCTACGAAGACTTGTATAATGCAGTATAGATAATCGATAAATTTTACCCATGTTGGATTGAAAACAAGATTTATACTTTAGTGCTATAAGTACCTTAAAATGTTAATGATATTCAGATTTATTGATTTGTTTGCATATAGATTGATTCAATGAAAGTTGAGGTAGGGTATCCCAAAGAAGTATACAATGATGCATATCTTAATCAGCTTCACAAAAACGTAAGTTATATTATGTATTACATTTTGTTCCATGATTTCTTTTGTTGAAAAAAAACAAGAAACGAAACAAAACAAAACAATACAAACTTAAATGTTATAAATAATAAAAACAGATAAGAAAATAAAGAAATATATAAATAGATTTATAACCCGGTCATAGCATCAATGTTTTCATAAAATATATGAAAACACCATGGCCCCTTGGAAACAGTATTACGCCTTTTATTATTATGAGTATTGTACGAGATCGGACCAAAGTACTTTTGACAAAACAAAAATCGATTTTTATGCGTTTGTTTTCATATTAAATCTATATTACATAATGACAATTTAAAAATGATACTCATTTTCTAAAATAAGTTTTCTATTTTAATATTTTAGTTTAAAGTCAACACCGACAATCCTTTCCAGACAGCTGTTAGTATGACCAGGGCAGAAAAGTCTAATGAAGTTAAATTGCTAAGGGCAACACCAAAAGATACCATGTAAAGTTATTTTCTTGTGTCTTTAATAATAGTCATTGAATTTGAAGAAATTTGCTACAGTCTTTACGTCCGGACAAAAGTAAGAATTAAAATCAATTGTTAATAAATCAAACTATTCACATGTAACGCCTGTGATTATTGCCTTTTAAAAAACTGATTTTTTTATTTATTAAATTGTGGTTTAAAATGTTAATTCAAACAAAATACTGATTTTAAAATAGATTTGACCCTGATAATATTATTTGACCCTGATATAATCGTAGTTAAATATCTATTGTGTTTTGAATGAGAATACAAAATAATTTAGTTTATTTAAAAATCAGCGGTGTTTTAATATAACTTATGTATCACAGCTCATTAGCCTAAACGATCACAATCATACGTATCAGAGAGCAAAATCGTATATATGACAAAAAACGTTATGTGTTCGAAGATATGGGTTCATAGCCATAGTTCTGAGGCAGCTTTTATTAAAAAAACAAAAACAAAAAAAAACTTGTGACGAGGCAATTAGTGAGTTGGCTAAATGTTTATTGTGAAATTCAAACAAATTGGCTTAACTACTTTTATTATTCATTTAAAAAGAAAATAACAGATGAACACAAGGGCACGCACAACTTCTATGTTGATTATTGTCGTCCACGCTTACTCGCAAACAAATTTATTATTCTAAAAAGTGTTTATTATAACTATATTATGTAAACACGTATTGCACAAAAACACTTGGGTGTTTCCATTCTAATATTTATAAATGATTACGTTTCAGGTGGATGTTTTCAAGGTTGGAAATAAATGCATATAACCTTCTGCATCTAAATACAATCAGTAAGTATCACTTTCACAGTTTAAGTATTGTAGTTTATTGTCAATTTCGAATTATTTTATAGCTTATTCAAGTTTTGAATGATTGAAATTTGACATCGATGTAGCGTTTTTGACCTCAATACAAAACAATGCAAAACTGAAGTGTCAGATTTTTAGATTTGTTAAGTAAACAATTGATTGTTATTGTATTCAAAATTGCATTCTGGGGTGTTTCACTCGGGGTAGGCAGTCGAAAACTAAATTGTAATAAAACTTACACATTTTTTTTAATAATAAGTTGAAACTGGGTAATAATTAATTGAGATCATGTTATTAAATGTTATAATTTTTGTGAACTTTTGATAAAAAAACGTTAAATTAATTTGTGTAATTTTGATATCTAAATTATTTATTTCGATTGATTCTCAATTTGATACTTTTGCAGTGTTTATATTACTAGAAACATCAAATTGATTGAAAAGACGTAAATTAAGACGTAAATTAAAAGTAAACTAAAAAGTAAAAATATATAAACATTGTACTCAAACATGTTTTCAGTTTTAATTCAGTCAATTGCCGTTTCTTTCTGCAACTTTTCCTTCGAAAATGGTCTTGGGCGAGGGGGGAAGGTGGATGTACTAGTTAATTCGTCACATTGATACTTAATCTAACTTTTTTAGTGAAAAATGTAATTTAATCAATTGAAGTTGTGTAAATTTGACAATATTGGATTTTCCTTCAGTTCTATTATATTCACCTATGGCTTCATAATTTATACACTTACTGATCCATATTAATTACATGATCAGGGCAAGTAACATGAACATGGTTTCTATTTTTACCAAGTTCAAGTCCTTAACAGCATTTTGACAAATTGATAATAATTATTGTTTATCCTAAACCGGCAAGTTGGATAAATCTTTAGTTTTATCTATACTTATTTGCTTCGTATTTTCCAAACTAAATTATCAGTACAAAGATCATAATATTACCAAGTAATGTAACTTTTCCATCCATTTACCCAGTTTGTTCCTTTTTATCATTTTAAGAATAGGGCTTTGAATGGTTAACCTATTTCGGCTAAGTTTGATTCATCTTTCTCTCTCAATTACTTCATTTATTAAATAATATTTTAAATTTTTGGTAAGTTGATACCTTTAATGGTCTCTATGTTTTGTGGAGTATGGCATCTCTTGGGTCAGGGTCACTTGTGTAAAAATCAACTTTTAAAAGTGTTGCTCATACAGCCTTCATTAATGTCTTTCATGTTTAATACAATGTTAAGTTAAGGGTCACTTGGGTCAATGTCAATGTCGCCAATGTCAAAAATATATTTTTACACTTTTACAAGCTTATTTTATTGAAAGTTTTTTTTATATATGTTAGGAACATTAAATTTGGGTATTTTGCTTTCGATAGACCTAGAGGTCAGTAAGGTCAAGGTCAGCAGTGGTATAAATAGAATTTATTATTTTGTTTGCACATCCTTAATCTATAGACAAATGTTTTTCATAATTGATAAGAAGATAATTTTCATGGTTTTTTTCCTTGGATGAAGTAAGGGGTCAGTTGTGTCAAGATCACTAGTGCTAAAATATTTGTTTACACTTTTGCCCATATAGCCTTTATTTATGGACAGATGTCTCATATATATGGTAGCAAGATACCTTACATGGCATTCGTCATTTGGACAGAGGTAAATGTCAGTGTGTCAAGGTCAAGACTGCCTTATATAACTTTTTAGACCTTTCCTTAAACGGCCTTAATATTTTGACTGATATTTTTCATTTTTGAAAGGATGATACCTTGTATTATTTGGATTGAGTTAGGGGGCAGTTTGATAAAGATCATCAGAGGTAAAAAATGAGTTTTATACTTTTGCCAATTTGACAGATATCTTGCATGGATATTTTGCATGCTTTTTGTCCCCTCTGAATTTAGTTAGCGGTCAGTGGGTCAAGGATCAAGATCAATATCCCAAGAATAGTTCTTTTTTCATACTGGTTAATGTAAACAACCTTAAATTATAGACTTAGGAAGGAACATACTTTGGGTGGTCTAGTGCTGGGAATCACAAGGTCCGTGATATTTTTTTACACAATTATACATCTTTGTTTTGTCGTACCAATGGTTTATATTTAAAATGAACATACCATAGGTAGCCCTTTCAGTTTGAAATTGGGGTATCTGGGTTCATGGTGAAGTCTTGCATTTATATACATTTTAATAAAGTTGAATTTGTTCACCTTCGCAAAGACTTGCCAACTTATATTTTTCACAAGTACAAAATGCCATGACTCAAGTTATTTAACAATGTTTGCAAATTCATTTGGATTCTGTTTTCTGTCAAAACCACATGTAAATAGGAAAACCGGGGGAGCAAGGGGAATTTGACCAACACGTTTTCGTTTAACATATTCCAATTTGTGGTGTCTTTATTTATTTTAGTGTTTCATTCCGGAATACTTCAACCAGGTTATTATTCGCATGATAGACCTGAGTAAGTACTTTTTTATTCGAAAGTGTTATATTCCTAAAATATTATCCAAATACATGTAGAAGGCATTGCATTTTATTTTAAATCAAGATACATTAAAACACACCCTAACACCAGTTATTGCATAATAGTAATATGGTTACTATATGTCATCAATTGTTTATTTTAGTAACACAAAAATTTTGTAAAATGAAAAAATTTACTTATTTTTAATCCTTCCTTTACAAAAAGTAAATGTCAAATAAACCATTTAAGTTAACGATTTTATGTTGCGTGTATTTCTTATAACATTGACACGTAATCAGCAATTCATAAATGAGAGTATTTATCTAAATATTGTGTTACGAACATCGCGTATTGGAAATGGAAAGCCAGCAACAAACTTTAAAGAATAATATTATATTCTACGAAAAAACTGAAATAGTCTTTACATGAATCATAAACCACCAGATTATAGAATGGTCCACAAAATATGTAACTGATCTCATTATCTCATGAACACTAAGTTAAATAACCAAAACACTGTTCATAATAATGTCCTCATTTTGTTATAGTCTGGTTTTATTAACCTGTCAATAATGGATGCATAAAAATATCCGTCCCAACTTCGGTTTTATCTTTAAAGTTTACGATATTTGATATGGAGTAAAGAACTTTGTAGCTTATGTCTGGAAACGTTTCAATAGCATGTATGCGGTTTCAATCTTACAACACGTAGGACAACCTGTAGGTTACCCTATTGCTCTATAACGGTTAGTTAAACTATTTAATAGAAACAAATTAAATTCAAACACATTCAACGACATCAGCCGACAATTTATCTAAGATTAATGCATTGCGTGCGATGACCGTATAAGAAGTCTGCAATTTACAGATTAATAAAATCAAACATTAATCATCACGCATTAATACTTATCCTGGCTATATAAGATTGTCTGTGACTTGATGTTTGATTACATTAACCAATTTAACGTAAAGGTAACCTCCTTTAAAAATATACCGTAACATAAACAAATTGGTATCTTTTGAGAGCATCTGATTACATTCTCTTTTTTTTAAATTTTCTATTAGATTCTTCATAATTCTATTGCTGCTAAATTCTGAAAACTAGAAGATCCCTCAAATTCAAGATAACTATAAAACACTTTTGAGAAAGAATAAGTATAGCTTGTGACACCAAACACGTATGAAATGAAGCAAGACGTAACAATTGACATACTTTGTGCTTCACAAATACCCTAACAGATGTAAAGGAACGGATATCATTTAATTTTAAGCTTATCATTTTAAATAAAAAGATGCAAGTAATCTTTCGCCTTAGAACATATACATAATTCAATATGAAAATATATTAAGTGCTTGAACTAGGTATTGATTTGTTGTATTAAGATTACTATCTACTGATTACATTACCTTTATTTGTGTTTCAGGTATATGAATTATGGAGGTATTGGGGCCACTATCGGTCATGAAATCGCACATGGATTTGATGATATAGGTAAAGCTGCTTGGTCATTACAAATGTGTAATGTTCTTTTCTTGGTATCAATTGAATTGCACCACATGTTTTCCCTTTTAGTATCGTGTACAATTCACCATTTTCTTAACAATTGAGTGAGTAAACTGTTATGTACCGCGAATGAAAAGGACTGTTAAGGTCATTGATTTTTAAGGCACTCGCCCCTAGAAAAACATCTCGGTTATCTTACAGAAGTATGGGGCCTGCTTGTCCATAAATGGCTTATATATGGAGGTACATCCACAGTCGTTAACTGAAGATATTGATGCGATGTAATTAAACCCTTTCACACATACACACGCAGGAAAAAAAGGACGTATAAAGGGTCAATCAAACAAAACAAAATAAAAACATGAATTTCAAACTTCTAAAAGTAAGAATCACAAATAAGAAAGTATTAAAACAATACTGTAAAGAGATTTGTGCACGTTTCTGAGTTTCGTGCTTATTTATGGAAAAGGTAAGTCACATTTAACGTTTTTTTCTCAATGTAACTTTGAAAATGATACATGTAGGTAGTCTTATATCATGAAATTAAATCTGACGAAAACAAATGATATCAAGGTAGTTATATATACAGTCCCGTATTGTTCTTAAAGGCAAACATATGTATGAACACGTAAGCGAGTTAATTATATGCCTACTTGGCTGGTACAAGTTCTCGTATGATTTTTGTTATTTTATAGGATTACTATATGATAAAAATGGTGCTTATCAGAGTTTGTGGTCAAAAGAAGACATGAATAAATTTAGCAAACGAGCTCAGTGTTTCGTAGATACGATCAGCAACATCACCGTACCTGGAACTGGTGGAAGGAAGGTACTGTGCACGCGCACGCACGCACACACATTTGTTGTTTTTAATTTTGTTTTGAAGAGTCTCTTTGCATAATTAGACATCCGGCGCTTATACATAAATTACACCGTTGAAATTTACATATAGATGTGAAGTATGATATAAAAGATTAACAACGTCAATGTTCAGTTCATGATCATGCATAATTAGCATGTTACACATTCAATTTGGCATATTTAAAACGAAGAATGAAAGAGGTAAATGTACATTGCCATGAAATATTAGGTTTTATGTTGTAACATAATGAATGAACACAAATCTTTCAGCATTTATGGTATAATCAGTTTTGATCGTTGTCAGTATCAGCTGATAACCAATAGAGGGCGGGCTTAACAAGTATTAATCTTCATAAAAATACTTAACACACATATCTCACAATTCTTGATACACACAATACATATTCTCCTTAGACAGAGTAATATATTGAAGCATAAAGTCACAGCATCGATTTCTACTTAGTTATACATGATACAAAAATCACATTGTACATTTTTCTCATTTATCATTGAATAATGGGGTCGGAGTAAAGTCATTCCATCAGTATGACAAAATAATGTATAATGTTTAATAAGCATTTGCATTTCTCAACACAGTGTTAAAAATACATGTTCGTACCAATTTCAATACGTATGTAGTAATAACGATAAAATAACTTGACAAACACAATTATAACTCAAAGAATCAAACCACTTTTGTTTTAAAGGAGTCTTTCTAATGTTGAATATCGGTAAACTTATTTTTATCCTGTTCAACAGAAACTATGGACCTTTGTCAAAGTCTTGTTCGTCCACATTTGTCCTTCAAATATCAAATAAATCATAGTCAAATGCCAAAGAAAATTAAAAAAGTTAAATAAAAAGTCAACATATACGTACATTTTAATCTTTCATATTTTAGTACCTTTTAGCAATGGAATATAAAAAACAATACCTATGTTGATGTCTGCGTAAACGTGAGCATAAGATTCAGATATTTTACTGAATTCTTTAACATAAACAGTAATGGATGAAATATACACTTTCTTTGCATATTTAGTTAGGACATACCTCTGTGACGTGTTTGATCTTTTGCACTTCATTTATTTTGATTCGGAATAAATATAGATTTGTCCTATAAAAATATAATCTGTAGGTTCACCTTTGGAGAACATTGATTTTATTAAAGAATTTACACATTTACTAGTAGTAACAACTTTTGACCAAAAACGTAGTGCTGTGGCACAAGGGTGCTTTAACACGTCATTTAAATCAACGCATTTACACTTTAGATAACTAAATCGTCTGTGGTAAAAATAAAATAAAATAAAATATTTTAGATGTCCAGAAATGATTCAGTTATTACATTATCATTTCTTTTATTATTTTCATTGGAACTGAAAAATGAAACTTATAAGTTCAACAAGCTCTTGTCAGCCATGCAATGATGTTTTTTGTACCGATACTGGCATTTAAGAAAACAAATGCAGAAGAATTAAAAAAAAACGAATAGAACTGTCCATTTTGTAAACGAAATTCTAAATGTTACATAATCTTATGTTTAACCGACATATTGATTTGTAGATAAAAGTAGTGATCTATTTAAGCTACTTGGACATCAGTAGACCACAATGTTTCCGATGATTATCTTAAAAACTATAAACCACAAAGTCTTCATATTGCACTTACCGTTTCAACATAACTTGTCAATTAACTTTATTGATATTGGAATCACAATTCAATAAAAATGTATTTCATATCTAAAGTTTATCATATCTTTAAATGAATAAAAAACATATTATAGTACCAATACAATTATTTCTTTACCTGCACAGACTAACGGAGATAGCACCTTAGCTGAAACGTTTTCCGACCACGAAGGACTCAAAGCTAGTTATATGGTGATATATGAACAATTTTTGACTTTTAAATTATGCTGCAGGCGAAGCAACATTTTAGATCAATATGCATTAGATTAAAGTACCATGTTTACTGCCAAACAATCGTTCTAGAATGTCTTTATTATATAATTGTAATGCTTTGCCCACTTTATTATAATTGAAGGTTATAACAAAAGTCTGAGCTTCAATAAAAATATTTTTATTCAATATCATAAGTTTATATTCCGACCATGCTTTTAGTGTTACTTTATATGTAATTAGAAATATTTGGAAAATAGTCAGAATGGCAATGTATCTTCTTAAAAACACACACAAAAAACAACAACAAAAACACGCAATCTTTAAAACAAAAGGAAACAATATAAAAAAAACGTTAAAAAATCACACAAGATAATTATAAATAATTATAATAAAATTTATTATTGTAATGAAATGATAATAATAAACCATTAATACAATTATTACAATCATTATTTAAAAATAACTGATTTCTAGGCTTATATGCAGTGGCTGAAGACAGATAGGGCAGACAAAGATGAGAAAAGATTACCAGGACTTCAATATACGCCAAAGCAATTATTTTTTCTAAATAATGCAATTGTAAGTATTTTTTTTAACTTTTAGAAAAAGGAAGAACATTGAGATCATGCGAAAAGGACAATTTTGCTCGTTCTGATATTGTTAGTCATACAGTGTGATTCAAGTATTGAAAAGAAGTATTAATGTAGATCTGGAGGTGAGGGCAGCTAGTTCATGGACTCATCGTGTAGTTTTAATTATGTTTCAAGATACTGTTATCAGTAAAGGGGTATCAAAGTAGTGTAAACCCTTTTCCGAATATATATAAAATGTCCTTTTATTTAAAATATAAATTCTGACTTTCTTTTTTTCAAGGACTTTTGCAGCAAACTCAGCAGAAAAGAAAGAATATCAGTTGTCAGATATTCAAATTTTCCTGTGGATAGTATAAGGTAATTAAACCAGTCAGTTGACATGTTCGTTGTTACCAACTCCAGCTTATCAAGAAAATTCTTTATAATAACCTTAAACGTTGTCAGCTTTTAGAAATGTACGACAATCACTGATTTATGCAATTACAATTGCCATTTAGTTATGTTTTTACCCTAAATATTTCTTTAAAATGATTTGTGAGATATGTCGAGAAAATGTTCGATCTTTTGTTCATAGTCTCTCGGGCTCATCGTAATGAAAACGGAATACTGCTTAAGCCGATGCTAAGTTTCAGAAATATTGCACTTCATCAGCTAGACTTTTAAACGAAGCTGAACGTTTTAAGCATTAATACATTATATCTCTGTTATCTTACACAAAAGAATTATTTTACGTATTATTATTATTAAACGGAATGTAATAAAATGAAGAAGTTTATAACAGGATGTTAATGCGTAAGCATATTTTCGCACATGCGCATTTCACTTTTACGAAACATAACGAAACATTTTTTTTTAAGTTCAAACTGACGGCAGCATCAACTATAAAGATTGGTCCAGCAAGCATATAGCCATAGACTTGCTAGTTTTATGTGAAATGTGTCATGAAACAAAACAAAAACAAAAATAAGTAAAGTAAATCAAAGAAAATCCATGCACTCTATCAAATGCACATTATATCTCAGAAAGATTTTAATTCCTAATGAAGGAAGGCGATATTATAAAGAAAAAGAATGTTAAATACCAATTTTTTGAAGAAATAGGCACATTATGATAAACCATTTGTTGTATAACGAACAAAATGAAAAGAGAAAAAAAATGCATCATAATCCATACACAATTCTAAAACACATGTCTGTACTAAATGTTCAAAGCAAAATAAGCAAAAGATTATTGAGCCTTTAAATCATTTTGTCTCCAGTATTATTCTAGTATTATAATGGTTGTCTCAATTGAAAGCTTAGTGTTTGTCTTTTGATACTAGAAGAGACAGAAATGTTTCAAGAGGTTAAGTACAAAAAATCGCTTGAAATACCTGAATACTATCATTTGGAAACATACATTTTACATATGAATCGCTATAAACAAATCAAGTACTGTTGAGTGTATCCTCTATTGCAGAATAAACTTTCAAATGCAGAACAGCAAAGAATTTGCAGAGGCATGGAACTGTCCAGTTGGATCCTTCATGAATCCTGAAGATAAATGCAATGTATATTAAAAAAACAAATGCTAGTGTTTTGAAACAAAGTCGTACTCTTATTGTAAAATATTGAATTATTGAAGAATTGTGTTGTCACTGTATTGAATTAAACGACTTAAGCGAGTATAATCATTAGTGTATTGATGTTATTGATTAATGTATTGATGTAATTGATGACCAACATCTAATAAACGTATTGACGACAAGGAGTATCAAGGTTAAGACCGTCTACAATAAAGATTTTCTCACTATATAAGCAAACAAAAACCATTAAAGAATGTTCATTCTTTGCTTTGATACTTTATTGCATACTTATTTGAAGAAAGACATATCTTAAAGACTGTTAATATATCAACAATATCTACAAGATTGTCTGTATCAACTTCAATGTCATTTACAATCTTAACAGCCAAAGTTTTTTTACCTTTAAGTTAGCAGTGTTTAATAAACATAAATCAAGCTACTGAAATTGACAACACACCAACAAATATTAGGATATTAAGCATTTCTCATGTTTTAGATGGAGTCATTTAGCACCCACGTGTACCTTAAACAATGCGCATTTGCAATTATGAACTTAAATTACTTATTTAACATTGAATTAAGTCTTACACTGTCGCATTTTAGAAAGTATTATTTTGAAGGTTTTTCTGTGTAATTATTTCCAATGATAAAGTATGGCCATATTTGTTTTTCATTGGAGGAATAACAGAACGTGATCAGTGTATTTCAGTATTGATTTACTTTTCTATATTGGACACGTTTTCATTTCAAATATAAGGCTAATATGAAAGTCGCCACGACATAATGAACAGAAAAAGGCCATTATGCAAAGAGTTCGGCCTTTATGAGAAAACTCGGCTATTATAAGATTGTAGAATTTTGATTGGCTCTCCAGAATATGAGTTTTTTCAACATTTTGAATTGCTGTAAGATAGGTTTACGAGACTTTTTGAAACAAGAATCTCATATGCAATACCTAACAACAACGGAATACACATTAGTTTTTTGTTCACTTAGTACTTAACCTTTTTAGATAATGTGCAGTTAATGAATATAATTGTCAATAATTAAGCTTTATATCCATAATGGTCTTGTTATTGAGATTTAAGCTATTATATTAGTCTTCGGCCTTTAGTCCCAGGCTAGTATAAGTGTCTTCAGCCCAATAACAAGGGCATTATGAAAACGCTCAATGATAAACATTATAGTATAATTGTGACATGGTATCTACTGCCCTGGTTGTCTGCTTATTTGTCGATTTGAGAGTATATATTAAGCATTACATTAGATTTAGGGTCATGCATTGAATTAGAATATAATACCTCTTTACTACAGCATAAAACACAATTTAATCCAATGATAGGCGATTGGGTGATTAAGACCCTACATATTTACCTTATTAAAAGATATATATTAGTGTTTATATGTCCTAACATTTTGAGTTTTGCATAAGGTATATGTGTACACTCCTGGAAAAGGAATTGCAGTCTTACAACTATTAACCTTATTAACAATTAATTTTAAAGGAGGCCAAAGGCCTTCGACATTAATCAAGTAAAAGTAAATATGAATATGTATTGAGAATCGACAGATATATTTATTTTTTCATCGTGCACCCTGTCTTTTTAGTGTCCTGCTGGCTCCTTTGGTGTTGGAGATGCGTTCACTGAATGTTGTCTTTCTTTGTTTATATTGACAAGATGGGACTAAAATGAAACTTAGTGGCCGTATATCGATATAGAATCTAACTGTGTGCCCATACCATTAAAGTCATTTTGGTAATAAGACTAGTAGAGAACCGTTCAATTCAAAGCTTTAAACTCACGTTTAATTTAGTTGTTTTATTTTTTGCTTTATCAAATATGGCCGAATAAAGCGAAATCTAAGGGACATGTTGTATATCGCAAGTGTACAGTGACGACATTCTTGAAACACTAATATTTTTTCCTGATATGTTATCATTATAGATTAGCATCTAATTTCAATTAGTTTTATCAAATTAAATTATTGTTTTGTTTTCTCTTTGCGTAAAACGATTGTGGTATAAGCACACTGTCGAATCTGAACTTTTGAACCTTTGACTTCATCAAAGTAATTTTTTTCTTGAAAAACACAAGGGGGAATTAATTGTTTCTCTGTGCCGCCTTCCCCATGCAAATTGTCAGATATATTTATAAATAAATTTTGAATGCAACACCTTATATTTTAAATAAAGAATTTGAGAACGAATGTTGTTGCTGTGTTTTTATTTTTGATATATTCATTCTCTATATTTTTAGAAATTGTTTAATGGATTTATCATGTACACAGTCAAGGAAAATACTAAGAGTTGAATTACTTTTAATGTTCAAAATATCTCACTAGCTGTGGCGTTGCAGTTGTTGTGGAACATTACACTTGATGTTGTAAACCAGTGTATACTAACATGTAACATAATAACCTTCTTGCTTTTAAACGGTTTTGTCACTCTATTGAATCACACATTAAGGCGTTTAATCACAGTGTAACATTGTGCTATTCACTGCAAATCGATGACATATTTTTCTATCAATTACTACTTCATTTTTTTCTCACCATCAATCAAAGCAGAGGAACTAAATCGTTCACCCTATCGCACTATCTGAACTGTTGACATGTTTGTTAGAACGGTGTCAAAAACGACATGATGATATCAACAAGCTTAATTTATTTTATTTTTGCCGATTTATCGTCATTTAAACTGTCGAATATAATTGATCAAAGGAGGGCATCACGCAGATGGAATTGATGGAATTGATAAACAGGAAGTTGGGATTGGCTTTCCTAGCTTTTTGTAATTGACGTTGCTTAAAAATATCTCATAATCACCAGCATCATTTTTTGATTTGACATAATAATCTGTGTCAGTTGCAATGCTAGAATTTATATAACAAAACATGTAAATTGCATTTTTTTTTAAATTCAAGCAAGTGTAATAGTAACAAATAAATTACGAGCAGTAAATTCGTTTTCTTTTTCTTTTCAATGAGAATCAGTAATTGTAACCATGCGAGCCTTTAAAAGTACCATGGTTGTAAATCTGTATTTTTTTGCGATTTACTTAAAAAAGCTGACAAGTCTTATAAGGCAAGAACACTACAATGAAGGGTATTAGTGCACGCCTACTTAATATGAAACTCCCGTCATATTATTATTAGACGCCGCTTGCAAGCGGCGTCTAGTAGATATGCATTTGTCCATACAGCAAAGAGAGAATTTTTGGACTTGATTTTGTGTTGTTTTTTTTTTAAATTTAATTTAACAAAATCACACTGTTTTCATTTTTTCTTATAAAATAGTTTTCCTGATGTACAACATGATACAGAGTTTTAAGGGATTAGAATACACGTTTAACTGAAGCGTTAGTGCACCATGTTTGAATATCATATTCTTTTTCTTATTATCTAATTGTATCTACATAATAAATAACGTGCTAATGAGCCAGACTATAGTCGATCGTTCTAAAACTTAACCGTTGAAAGAAGTAAACGGAAAATTGGATCGAGTGAAATTACACTTTATATATTTAACCCCGCCTATAAAATAAGCACTAATTTCTGATAAAGTGTTATCATCCTTATTATAATACACTGTAAATCTGTGTAAATGATTAGCGTCACTGTGATATTGTGCATAAGCTTAATCCTCATAAGAAATATATGCGTGAATTACGTGTCAAAAGAATGGAAACAGTCTTCAAGACATACAATAATACAAAATGCCTGATAATTCAATCAGCATATGAACTTATGTGAGGATATCAGGTAAGATGACTAAAAGATCATCTGAATGTAGATACACTGTACCCTTATGTTCATTAAAGATATATGAGGAATCACATTATAAGAGGACCAAGAATTCATCTACATGACCATATACTATGGAAAGCCATGGCTGTCTGATATTGCTCTTTTTCAATTTATGTAACCATTTGGATAATATATTAGTTCACTATGACTATATATGACTTGAAAACACCTTCTTATTTAACCGGAATCCATTATATTAATCCACAGTTACAATATATGAAACCATACCATCAGTGTATGAAACCAAGTTAGCAATATATAAGTTGATTTTCTCAATATATGATTCCAATTCTTCAATATATTGTACCAAAGTAGCCATGTATGGAACCAGATATCCTTATATGAAACCAAATTATCAATATATTAATTCATTTTTACAATATATGAAACCATTTTATCAATGTATGGAGCCGAAGTATCAATACATAAGTTGATTATCACAATATATGATACCAATTATTCAATATATGGAACCAAAGTAGCAATGTATGGAACCAGGTGTCCTTATATGAAACCGAATTATCAATATATTAATTCATTTTTACAATATATGAAACCATTTCATCCATGTATTGAACCAAAATATCAATATATGAGTTGATTATCACATTATATGATACCAGTTCTTCAATATATGATACCAAAGTAGCAATATATGGAACCAAAATGTCATTATATTGACGGGACTTTTTTAAAGGCTGTATTCTATCCTTGCACCGGTATTACAGTTTCGCGCCAATACACTTTTTCATGAAATCAATTATTTATTATTTGACAAGTTATTTTTAAACTTTGTGAGTACATTAACCTTGATGTGTCCTACTGGCCATGCCCATTTTTGATCAAAGGTAAAGGTCGAGATGAACTTATTTTTTAAATATGTTTTTGTTAATCTTAAATTATGACATACTTGTTGTAACTCGTACATATATAACGATAAGTTTTGCCTGCCCAGACCATTTTAAATGAATGTGACGTTAAATTTAAATATTTCCTTATTTAGAAAATGTGCAGTATGCATTCAGTGAAGCATGCTGGTCTTTTGACAGTTCAACAAGGAATATTGGCGCGAAACTGTAATACCGGTGCAAGGATAGAATACAGCCTTTAAAAAAAGTTCCGTCAATATAATGACATTCTGGTTTCATATATTGCTACTTTGGTATCATATATTGAAGAACTGGTATCATATAATGTGAAAATCAACTTATATATTGCTACTTCGGTTACATACATTGATAAACTGGTTTCATATATTGTAAAATTGATTTAATGTTTCATATAAGGGCATCTGGTTCCATACATGACTTACTTGGATCCATATATTGAAGACCT